ACACGCCCCTGCTACACAAGGAAAACAACTGTGAAGCTAAAACAATCCGAAAGGATCCCTATGATTCCAAGGGTTACACACACACACACACCTTCATGCTTGACGACGTTTACACACTTTGGCCACTTCCACCTTGATTTGCGATTTTGGGTGAGGGTCACGCGCTTTGGAAATGGCCGCCTGCAGCGGCGACCCAGGAGCGCCAGGGCGTACATCCGACCCCTTAAAAACACCGGCGCAGCGGCGCGCGCCCTGCAGAACCATCAGGGCGTACGCCTATACCGCACAAATCACACCGGCGCAGCGGCGGCGACCCAGGACCACCACGGCGCACCTCCGCATCAAGTGCCACGCCTGCCACGCAAATCACACCGGCGCAGCGGCGGCCGACCCCTTGGAGAGCTTACGGGCGCAGCGGCGGCGACCCAAGAGTACAGGGCGCCCCTCGCCAACTTCAACTTTGATTTTCAACGACAGTTCCACACCTTGACACCTTGGAGCACTCGAACTCCACAAATGGTTCACCGACATCAGCAAGAAACCCCGTATCACCTCACGCTTCAGCGCCCGACAGGATATGGCTGAATTCCGAATGTTTTTTATACTAAATTTGAATTTAAGCTTTTCTGGGTTTGCGACAGGCAACTGAGATAAATCCCAAGAAGCTTACATTCGAATGTTAGCTGGGTCAATCTACAGCCATGGATGAGCTGGATGCTTCATTTTCTAATCAACATGGCACTGCGCAAGCCCACAGGAGATTGGGATCCCCATAGGATCCATCTTCTGCCATGCGATGAAATACGACTCGAAATGTCCAAGAGAATCGTCTTTTCTGAAACCTCTCTCAAACAGTGACGCTGAATACTGACAGTTCCATCCATCAGTGTGTCACAACGTTGGCTTATGTAGGTTGAGCTGTGTGCGAAAACAATAAGTGGACAAAGTCGCGCCGAAGAATGCAACAAACCCCCAAACCCATGCCAGGCAAGACGCATGTTGAAGGCATCACCTCAACTCCAAACCCAGGTTAGCGTTCTTGCAAGCATTGGCCACGGCATTGTTACAGCTGCAATCAAAGAAGCCGTATGCCTGCGGAGTGGCAAGGTGATGGCGCGTTGAAAGCCAAAGATTCAAGAGGGTTACCTGTGACTCTGAGCCTTCCGTAGTGCTGACCAAGACAAGCGGAAAACACATATAATTGGACCATGTACCTTTGATAGCTTCAAGGGCCAAGCCTTCTTTGAACATTTTAATGTAAAGTCCATCGGGAATGAAGAGAGCTCCGAATCTTGCATGATTTGGTTCGCACGCTCCGAATATCCCAAGCAGAAAGGAGGACAATCTTCTCTTCAATCAAGCGCACGTGATCTTCTAGCGCTCGCATATTTTCAGGAGGGTTTGCTAAAGACCGATGCAAGTCATCAAAGCATTCAATTGGAACCATTGAAAGCTCATTCAATTGGAACCATTGAAAGCTCATTGCAGAATGTACCTTGAGTTCTTCATCTGCAGCGGAGCCGGTATTTGACTCTCAGGAACACCATCTCGGCGCATCTTCTGCTCTGTGCAGCTGCCAATCCCCTCAATTCTCAAGCAGTCATCAGCGTCAAAGGAAGGCAATGTTGCTTGTCGCATGTTGTGCACGCCTGCCAGCGACCGATCAATGTCTTGCGGCCATCAGGAGTGGGGAGTTTGTGAGCGTTTTGTGAATCACATGGTGCTTTTGCCGGCGCTGCTGTCGCGCCGTTCGCAGGGACACATCACTGCCCACTTCTTCCAAACCAACGAATGCCCATGGCTTTCGCTTCCTGGCCTTGGCAAGGATGGCTGCCACAAGCTCAGCCATCTGCGGACAGCAAAGCTGAAGTCAAGTTCAAGCCTCCAACCCAAGAATGCAGTTGTGGTTTGAATACAAGCAAATGAAAAGGATAACCAGGATTATATTCAATTATTATACTGTCATCTGAGGTGCAAATGTGATTTGAATAAGAGCCAATGAAAAGGATAGGAGCATTAAATTCAAATCTAAGCCGCTATAACTAGGCCAACAAACATTTGTGTATTTACTTCAAGTGCAAGCTAAAGAGAAGAGCTAACCGCCGGACGACGACGACGATGATGGTTGGACAGTGGCGTTGGTAGCCGTTCTTTACGGAAAACCCTTTGCGGGTGCTTTCGGGAATCAATACAATAGTACTCTGGCCCGTCGGGGGCCTACGTCTTCACAGCGCAGCAACCGAACAAGGCGGGATGTTCCAGGTATCACTAATGAGTCTGTACCATCTTTTCTCCTGTGATGTGGTTCCCATCATCTGCCTCCGCACGCCTTTCATGTTTTCTTTTCATGTTTTTGCTGGCTCGAGGTTGTGTCACCTCATCCCTGGTCCATCACCTCTGCACATACTGCGCGCTGCTTACCCAGGTTGAGCTTTGCAATTTCCGGGACCTGCCCCTGCGGAGAATGTGTCCGCACGGGATTTGGTTCTAGGAAACCTCATTTGTGCGGTTGGCATTTGTTAGTTCGGGGTACCTTTAACCACCTATGCGTGAGGATCCTTTTTGCACCCACAGCCAATTACTCTTTGATGTTTATTTAGTTCAGTGTGGCCGTGCATTGTGAGCAGAATTTAGGGCAGGGGTACTGGGCGTTCTCTGGCTGACCAAGTTCAAGGCAGCCAGGTCACACAGAGGGATATGCAGACTGGGCATCCGAACGCGCGTGCATTGCATGTTCCATGCCATGCGGCTGAGCCACCCGGATCTTTGCACTGACAGTGTCAGCCGAACCCTTAGGAGGCTTTGAGCACCTTCGCTAAACAGCTCGGACTCATTTTTAAGAACTCCAAAACGTCTTCCTTCCTAACAACGGTGGCCTTCAACCTGGTAGCGTAGTGGAAGCATCAAGATGTCTGCCCCCCATCTCCATTTCCGTTCCCCTTTTGTGTCAGTATGTTCATGCTTCTGTGCAACCCACACTGCCGATTACAATCGGGTCCTTCTTTGCTTTCCTTCTTTGTTCTTTTTCTTCCTCCTGAAAAACGTCTGGTAACACCATTCCCGAGAGCACACAGGGCCCTACCTGCCACTACAACATTGAAAACATTTGTGTTCGTCAAGCTGCCCGTGCATCGCCTTCCGCATGAGGAACATGGTCACAGCACCGATGATGCCGAAGACAACCGCCAAGAGCAGGACAGAAGCCTTGATCAAAGGAAGTGTTTGTTTTCATTCATAGTAGCCTCTTGCTTCTAGTAGTAAGGCCAGGAGCCCCTAGTAGCCTCCTTGCTCCTAGTTGCGATGCCAGGGGCCCCAAATAGCTCTATTGTTCCTAGTAGATCAAAAAGGAAATATATCAATGAAATCCGTGCAAATGTGCTGGGCTGAGTCGTTGTGCACCAACCGCACAGCCTTCAAAGTGCTCCCAAAGCCAGAATTTTTCCATTGTCTCTGGGGAAAGTCTGCGTGGAGAAAAAGGGTCCATGTTCTCAGCTTGCAATGTTTCATCAGCTCATGGCTTCATCGTCCATGACCTCTTTTGGCATCCATGTTTTGTCATGCCCTGCAAACATTTGTGTGACGGTGTGGTTCAACTACTAGCCATTTTCGCCGCAGCCCAACAAGCCGCGGTGCATGCGGAAGAAGGCGCTGCGTTCTCTTGGCATCGACAGTGCCAATCAAGGCTCAAGGCATGTGGGCAGTTAGTTCGGCGTGCTTCTGCTTCTATGCACTTCAAGCTGTGGAATGAGGGGCTTCTTGTTGGTCGTTGTGTCCGCCTTGTCTCCCTTCTGTCTCCCTTTGTCTCCAGTCTTGTCTCCCTTCTTGTTGGTCATTGTGCCCGCCTTGTCTCCCTTCTGTTTCCTGTTGTCTCCCTTCTTGTTGGTCATTGTGTCTGTCTTGTGTCCCTTGTGTTTCCTTTTGTTTCCCTTCTTGTCTTCCTTCTTGTTGGTCATTGTGTCCGTCTTGTCTC